CTCCGGGATCTGCAACAAGTCCTCGTTTTACAGACCCCATCTTGTCACTCCCCAATCTGATCTGACCACCTGGTTTGTTTTTTTGAATCGAGCACTTGAGTCATAACATTTCTGTTTATTTCAACAACTGTATTCCTTGCATAGGAAATGAGCCAAGATGGTCTAAGGCGGGGAGAGCGAAGCATGTCGTGGTTGTAATTGCTTTTGCTCTCCCCATATAAAATTTTACAGTATAATCAAAATCTTATTTTTGTACTACTGGACTCTGTTATTGACTTAATCTTCTTAAGTGCTCCTATTATTCCAGTGATTTCATCGTTGCATGTTGATTTTAATCTTTTGATCTCCATATTAGCTACTGCCTGCAACTAATTTGTTGCTCAGTGTTTTTCTTTGTTTTGACCTGTGAGGCATTTTCCTCATGGCACACAACTCTGCTGGCAGATTGCATATAATCTCTGCACTTTTTTCCTCCCATATTTTGCATAGTTACAACAAATGCAGATTTACAACTTGAAATGGAATATGTATCTTTTTCGAAAGGCTGAGGAAAATATCACTTCAGGTTTAGCTCAAGAGCCTAAATGTGCTTGAATAAAGGAAATATGGCTGAATACAGCTCAGTGGAGAGAGGTGTCTCGCAGGGTTTTTAGTTCAGCAAGTTCAGAATAGGTGGCACCTGCAATAATTGTAACTTCTATTATATGCAGTCAGGGATCAGAGAGTTCTGAAAGCATTGCTAGACCTAAGATGAAGAAGGCTGGTTTTTGTGAATGGCTTAAGGGACTCTCCTAGCTGGACTGAGCTTGATGCAGCAACGGCTCCGTTGAATCATGACACCATGGAGCAGTTTTTTTTAACAAACATTGGTGACAGTGGCAGTAGTGCAGAGTTGTGAACTTCACGGACAAAGTGCAGATGTTGAAATATGCTTCAGCTGCATTTTGGTTGGCCATTAGATGAGTGTTTTTTCCCTTGGTGGTTGATTGTTTAACCTGTGCTGATTTATCCGGCACTTTGTTTGCTTTAGCTTTTTCTTTTAAAGCTTAGAGAAGAAATGTTTTGCCTTAGGTTTGCTGTGACTTTTTTAAAAAGAACACAGCCTGAACATTGACAAAATCATCTTTGCTTTGCTGCGTGCCTGTTTATGCTTCTGAACACAAATTGTCTTCTAATATTTTTGACGTTTTGGTCACTAGAGAGGCAGAAAAGCAATTTCTAAGATGCCTATGGGCCAGGAGACATGCATTACAGCAGAGGGGAAAGAATCTGTTAGTTGCTGAAATATAAAACAAATTGGATGAACAGCTGCTGACACTTGTCAGTCAAATAGTTGATAGCATTTTCAGTCTCCATGCCACATGCTTTAAGTAAGTCTGTCAAAAAAAGGATATTTTTGCTGGACTTCCCTGTAAATATGAGAGAAGTTTTGGCCTGATCTATCATTTAAAATTTTGCTGGCAGAAGAATGAAATTTTCCTCTTTCTCCAAAACTGATTGACATAACTGTACTGGCAGATTCTTCATCTAGGTGCAGTTGTACTGGCAGAAAGTCCTTTGACTGTTGGAGCTCGTTCCATCGCAGCAATGGGTTGAAGCGAAACCAGCAGCAGACCTTTGCGTTCCTCGGCTGGGTTTGCCAGAGCGCTCCCATCCATCACCAAGCCTTTTTAGATGCAGCCTGAGCTGTAGCTTTGCTCTGTGGGAGCCCAACTCCTGTCCAAAGCACAGTCTGTGGCCAGGAAGGCTTTAAACCTGAATTTATGGCTTTAAACCCCAATTTATGTCTTTCAAACAAAACCAAACCATTTTGGATTGCATATTTCTGCAGGATTAACCCAAGCCAGCACTTCTTGCTCCTGGTACCATGGTACAGCACCCAAATAGGACAGGGTTGAGCTGCCAGCACCCATGTAACCATTTGCAGGGTTAAAGGCAGTGGGGATCAGGGCACAACGTGCTCCTTTGCTCAACCACGGGCTGCAGGGTCTGGAGTGGGAGGTTAAATCCTGCTTTGCAGCATTGCTCGTACATGAGTTCCTCTCCCCGCTCACACTAAAGTAGATAACTTGAAGCTCATCATTTGGGTTCAGACTTCTTAAAAGAAGTTAGCTGGCTAATGCTTCCTTGTTTTGAATGTGCGGTCGAGCCTGACATATCCTCTGGGTTGTTACAGAGTCTCTGAGGTGCTTTACTGGGGTTTGAGGACATGTGAAAAGCTGTCACAGGCTGTAGAGTCATTGCTAGTGACAGAGAAACTCGGACAAAGGTGTCCATCACTTGCAGTTTCAGGGAGGCACCTATGTGTGTTAGTGATGCACAGCAAAGGATCATCTCCTGAAGGCTGCACCC